CGAGGCCACATAGTTGCACAATAAAATTTTCCTTAAAAGGAAATTGTACACTCTCCGGATGTCAGAATCTACTTCAGTGATGGAGCACTTAAACACACTGAACACTTTATTTTCTCAGCTTACATCCTTAAGCTGTACAATATGAGAACAAGAACGTGTTGAACTTCTACTTCAAAGTCTACCATATTCGTATGATCAACTTATCATCAACTTGACAAACAATAATATCACTAGTCTAGTTTTCGATGACGTTGCAGCTGCTGTTCTACAAGAAGAAAATCGACCCAATAGCAAGAAAGACAGACAAGTCACAAACATGGTAGATCAAAGTCGAGAAACAAAAAGAATTTAAAGTTCTACAACTGTGGAAAAAAGGGTCACTTGAAGAAGGATTGTTGGAGTCTAGGTAAAAACTCCAATCCACAAGTCAATACTGCAAACACTTCAGATGATGGAGATGTTCTATGTTGTGAAGCGTCAACCACCGTGGAAGGTAGAAAAAGATTTGCAGATATATGGCTCATTGATTCGGGAGCAACATATCACAAGACCTCAAGAAGAGAATGGTTTCATCATTATGAACCTGTCTCAGGAGGATCTGTGTATAGTTGCAATGATCATACCTTAGAGATTGTTGGCGTTGGAACCATCAAATTGAATATGTATGATGGAATAATTAAAATTGTTCGAGATGTGCGATACGTGAAAGACCTGAAGAAAAATTTATTATTCTATGGATTGTTGGATAATAATACGAGAAAGATTGAAACACAGAAAGTAATTATGAAGGTGTTCCATGGAGCGCTTGTGGTGATGAAAGGCGAAAATATAGCAACAAACTTGTATATGCTGAAGGGAGAGACTTTGCTAGAAGCAGAAGCCTCTGTTGCCTCATGTAGTTCATATTCTGCAATGCTATGTCATTAGAAACTTAGACACATGTCAGAACAAGGAATGAAAGTCCTTGTGGAGCAAAAGTTACTTCTAGGCTTAACAAATGTATCACTTACTTTGTGTGAGCATTGTATAACAAGTAAGCAACACCGGTTAAAATTTAACACGTCAAATTCTAGAGGCAAAAGTGTTCTAGAATTGGTTCATTCTAACGTATGGCAAGCAACAGTTACATCCCAAGGTATCACTTACTTTGTCTCATTTATTGATGACTACTCCAGAAGATGTTGGGTGTACCCTATTAAGAAGAAGTCATATTTGTTTTCAACTTTAAAAAAAAACTTGTGAAACTTGATTCTAGAAATAAGATCAAGTGTTTCAGAACAGATAATGGAGAAGAATACCCAAGATTTGATGACTTTTGCATGAAAGAAGGCATCAAAAGACAGTTTACAGTGGCGAACACTCCTCAACAAAATAGAGTGGCAGAGCGGATGGACAAAACCTTGTTTGAAAGAACAAGAGCAATATTGAGGGTTGTAGGCCTAGAAAAATCATTTTGGACAGAAGCAGTTAATACCACTTGTTATTTGGTGAATCAGGCTCCATTAACTGTAATACAGCTAAACACACCAATGGAGATGTGGACTGGTAAACCAGCTGATTATTCAAACCTCCATGTATTTGGAAGTATTGTGTACGTGATGTACAACTCCCAAGAAATTTCAAAGTTTGATCCAAAATCCAAGAAATGCAAATTCTTGGGGTATGCTGATGGTGTAAAGGGGTATCGCTTGTGGGATCACATTACCCGTAAAGTGATCATTAGCAGGGATGTTATCTTTGTAGAAGATAAACTACAAAGAAAAGAAGACGATGATAGAGCTGAAAAGTCAGAGACTACACAGATACATGTGAAAAATGAGTTTGAACAAGGAGATTCTTCTGAAGCAGAACCAGCACATGATGAACAAGAACCATAGAGTTCTAAAGCTCCAACAACTCGTCAATCAGATCGTGTGAAAAGACGTCCCAATTGGCACTCAGATTGTGTTATAGAAGGAAATATTGCATACGTGAGCCATCAACATTCCAGGAGGCAATAAACAACTCAGATACTTCACTATGGATGATGGCGATGCAAGAAGAAATTAAAGTACATGGGACCTTGTTCCACTACCACAAGGAAGGAAGCCAATTAGTAACAAATGGGTCTTTAAAATCAAGCGAAATGGTAAAGATTAAGTGGAGAGGTATCGTGCAAGATTGGTGGTAAAAGGATATGCTAAAAAAGAAGGTATTGATTTCAATGAAATCTTTTCTCCTGTGGTTCGACTAACAACAGTTCGAGTAGTCTTGGCAATGTGTGCTACATTGAACTTACATCTAGAGCAGTTAGATGTTAAAACAACTTTCTTCATGGAAATCTTGAAGAATAGATTTATATGCTCCAGCCTGAAGGTTTTGAAGAAGAAGAAAAGAAGAACTTGGTTTGCAGGTTGAACAAATCTCTGTACGGTCTAAAGCAGGCGCCGAGATGTTGGTATAAGAGATTTGATTCATTCATTATGTGCCTTGGATACAACAGACTTAATACAGACCCTTGTGCTTATTTCAAGAGGTTTGGTGATAACGATTTTGTTATATTGATGTTGTATGTGGATGACATGTTGGTTGCAGGACCCAAAAAAGATCATATTTAAGAATTGAAGGCACAACTGGCTAGGGAATTTGAAATGAATAACTTGGGATCAGCAAATTCTCCGAGACAGAAGTAATAGGAATATTTGGCTTTCACAAAAAAATTATTTGAAGAAGATCTTGTCAATATTCAGCATGCAAGATTGTAAGCCAGTTTCTACCCATCTTCCTATTAACTTCAAATTATCCTCTAGTATGAGTCCTAGCAGTGAAGAAGAGAGGATGAAGATGTCTCGAGTGCCGTATGCATCGGCAGTGGGAAGTTTAATGTTCGCTATGATATGCACAAGACCAGACATTGCACAAGCAGTGGGAGTTGTTAGTTGATACATGGCGAATCCAGGCAAAGAGCATTGGGATACAGTAAAGAGGATCCTGAGAAACATCAATGGGACCTCAAATGTTACATTATGTTACGGATGATCAAACTTACTAATAAATGGGTATGTAGATTCTGATTATGTAGGGGATTTGGATAAAAGAAAATCTACTACAGAATATGTGTTCAAAGTTGATGGTGGAGCTGTAAGTTGGGTTTCAAAATTGTAGTCAGTTGTGGCTACATCCACAACAGAGGCAGAATATGTAGCAGCTACACAACCCAGTAAAGAAGCAATTTGGTTGAAGATGTTATTGGAGGAGCTTGGGCACAATCAAGAGTATGTCTCTCTATTTTGTGACAGTCAAAGCGCCTTGCATCTAGCAAGGAATCCAACATTTCATTCAAGGACAAAGCATATAAGATTTCAATACCATTTCATTCGTGAAAAGGTGGAAGAGTGGACGATAGATATGCAAAAAATCCATACCAAAGACAACATAGCAGATTTCATGATGAAGGCGGTCAATACTGATAAATTTACTTGGTGTCGATCCTCTTTTGGCCTATTAGAAACGTAAGCAATATGAAGGTACAAGGTAGAAAGAATGGTGTGAATATATAATTATTCCAATCAAATCTTCAAGTGAAGATTGTTGAAAATCAAAGTCAAAATTCACGGCTAGTAAATTCAAGTTGGTTGTAGATTTTGTTGAAATTGGCTAGTGAATTCGGTGGTCTAAGTTGGTTAAGATTTTGTTGAAATTGGCAAGGTAAAATTACCAAATTTAGTCCATGTATTTTAGGGTATTTACAAAATTAGTCCTTAAGCTTCAACTATAAATACCCTAACCCATTTAGCTTCAAAATCATCCCAAAATCATTATAGCTTTCTTCTAATACTAGAGAATTTAGAGAGTTTTATTGAGAGTTGTTTTCTCCTTTTTATCAAGAGAGAATTGTCATTCTTTCTCCTTGTTAGATCGAGAGAAGTTGTAATTCATATTTTCTCATAGTGAAATTATTCTACCTAGGGCTGTAAATAAGACGAGACAAATCGCGAGCTATTCAAGATCGACTCGATCAAGGCTCGATAAATACTCGGATCTAATGGACTCAACTCGAGCTCGACTCGAGTTCTTAACGAGCTGAAACGAGCTACTCGATATTCGACTCGAAAAGGTCGTGAGCAGCTTGAAAATATAATATATTAAGATTTTATTTAAAAAAAATAAATTAATAATAATATTAATATTTATGTATTGATTTTTTTTATAAAAAAACAATAAGATTTCATGTATTTAAGGTTCATGTTCGAGTTTGAGTTTGAGGCTTCAATCGAGTTAAATTTAAGAATTTTTTTTTTCATTTCGAGCCTTTTCGAGCTGCTCACGAGCTTCAGTTCAGGATTTCTAGTTCGATTTGAGCTTAAAAATTTTAAGCTTGCGAGTTTTTCGAGTCGAGTCGAGCTCCATTTCAGAGTTTTCGAGTCGAGTCGAGTCGAGCTCAGCAATACTCGAGCTCGACTCGGCTCGTTTACACCCCTACTTCTACCTTTGCCCGTGGTTTTTACCCTATATTATTTAGGGGTTTTCCACGTAAAAGTTGTGTCTTCTTTATCTTCATTTTTTATTTTATCAAATTATCAGTTACGATTTTGCTCTATCCGATAGTCGTATTCCGTAATAGGCCTAAGCTGGTCTACGATAGTAAAAGTTAGACCATTTTGAATTGAATATGAAAAGTTTGCATGCGGCGGAGTTGTTATCCACCTTCCCAACTCGTAATGACAAAGCGCTGAGACATTGTGCAAAAATCAATATTATGTTATCAGGTTCTTTTGTAAATTAACTTTTCATTTTCTGAAGTACACAGCCACATAGCTATAGTGACTTTGAAACTCGATTTCAGTCCAATGAGAAAGAGTTATACCTTAAAACCAAGTGTGTTCTTGAGGAAACTTGTGCTTAATTCAGAATTACTATATTCATATCTCTTTTTATTGCAAACGACACTGATGCACCTCCAATGGTGCCAATAAAGCATATCAAAGCCGTAAGAGAGAGCTCTACTAGGTATAACTTCAATGACTGAAACCAAAGTATATTCTTGATCTGTTACAAAAGAGTGGTTTTGCAGTAGTTAAGGAACTTCCTACTCCCATGATAACACATTGTAAGCTTTCTACTACTAATGGATCGCCCATTGATGAGGTGGCTCACTATAGAAGTATTGTTGGTGCTCTCTAATATGTGGTTATTAATCAGCCAGATATTGCATATGCAGTTAATCGCGTCTGTCAATTTATGCAAAGCCCTAAAGATAAACATTTTCAGCCAGTTAAGAGGATTCTGATGTATTTGCAGGGCATTTCGGATTATGGTTTACAGTTCTCGTCTTTTTTTGAACTGTCCTTGGTTGGCTTTACTGATGCAATTTGGGGTGTTGATATTGATGACAGACGATCCACGTCAGAGTATTGCATTTACTTTGGTGGCAATCTTGTTTCGTGGAGTTCTCGTAAACAACAGGTGATTGCTCGTTCTACTGTTGAAGCAGAATATCGCAGTGTTGCTTCGGCTGCCTCAGAAGTCATATGGCTTGCATTTTTACGCAAAGAGTTACAGTGTTCATTTCATGGAAAACCTACTCTTTGGTGTGACAATACGAACACTGTTGTTGTGTGTTCCAATCCAGTTATTCATTCGAAGTTCAAATATGTTGAATTGGATTTATTTTTTGTTCGAGAAATGGTAGCAGCTGGTCGGTTGCAAGTTCATGAGGTTCCAGCGTACGAGCAAGTTGTTGATGTTTTTACTAAGCCGTTGTCTGCTCCGATGTTCATTCGTCACCGGAAGAAGCTGTTATTTTCTCGGATTCGTAAGGAAGGATTAGCTTTGTTGACTAGCTTTTCCTAGACAAATACAGCTGAGGAACAATATATGAATGATGGTGAAGTTGAAGATGTGGATTGCATGGAGAATGTTAAGAGGTGAAGCTGTAGATATGGAAAGTTTGATTACATGAGGAATGTTAGCGTATTATAAATATGAATAGCATGGAGAATGTTAGTGTAAAGAATGGGATTGGTTTCAGCTGAATAGTTATGAGTTGGTTAGAGGTTGTTATGAGTTAGTTGAGAGTAGAGTTTGTTAGTCAGTTGTTGCTATGTTGCTATAAATAAGCTAGTTTGTTTTCACTCATGTACACATGGATTTCTCATAATAAGATGCAAAGTATTCTTTTATTTTCTCTCTTGTTTCTACTATACTTAGTAGTAGAGCTTATATCTTAACAACTTTGAGAGTCTTGGCAGTTTTGGAGTTTTAACCGCGTGAAAAATGGGGAAGATGCATTATATTCCCGACGTCTTCCTACGAGAACTATAACAATTACACTAGACCAAAAAATAATTCCAGTGAAATCCTATACGAGCCAATATTTTTTTCACAACCCCACACAAGAATTTCAGCACAACAATTTTATAGGTTATTGAAGAAATGGAATGTAAATTATTATTGATCTGTGAAATGTAGAAAACCGTACGATATAATATCTTAAAATTTTTAAATATAAAAATGAAATATGAACTATTTATTTATATAAATGAGACTATCCATAACTATTTATACACAATAAATAATTTTTTTAAGCAATTAGATATAATAATTAGTAATTAAAACGGAACAAAAATTTAAGTTCAGTGATGATTTAAAAAAAGTAGTTGAATGAACAAAACAACACCGCAAGAATAATTAAGTGATTAATATGTAATTTACCATTAGTTTTTTAAAAGAGTCTATGGTTTGAGACAATAAGGTAACGATTTAAATTTCAGGGGATAAATGTCCCGAAAAATATTTTAGGGGACAACTCAATATAATAACATACTTTAAGAGACAACAAAGTATTTAAGCTTATTGTATAATACATGTGTATATATATATAGTATAATATTTGTTATAGTCTTACAGTCGTATATTATATGCATATGGTTATTGTTTTATAAACCTAGTCAACAGGTTATAGCTATAGCTATGTAATTGAGAATATATAAAAAGAGACATTATAATAATTATCTCTAAAATATATAGAAAACATATTAAAAATTATTAATTAAGATTAAATTGAACAATCATAAAATTATAAATTTAAATTTAAATAAATTAAATAACACACATAAATCAAACTAAAATAGTTATAAAATATAAAATACAAATTAATATCAAATTAGACTAAATTTCATTCATTTGGAAAACTAAAAGGGACGAAAACGACTGCAGTTGAGAAGCAAAGAATACGAGAAGATTTGTTTGGATAGTTCATTTATTGGTCCTCCTACCGACGAATTTCATAAACTAGACTAGAGATTCTACAATCCAAATTAAAGAAGGAACCAAAGGGAAAAACCAACAAGATAACTATATAAAAATACAGAGAAAATGCTTTCTTTTATTGCTAAGAAGTAAAGAATGGATTTCATTATTTTTCCTCTGTCCAACGAGATAGGATGTGCTTCTGTTTATAGACGAGTCTCCTAACATCAAATGGTCTAAATTATTTATATCGACGATCTATATTAAAAGCATATCTACCCAAACCTCCTATTAAAAGAAATTAAATCAATATAATCAATACATTCCATGGATAGGAGATTACATAGGATATAAAAGAAATCAAAAGGAAATACTTTGATTAACATTAAACTCATTATCTTCTTACCATTTGAATTAAATTGACCGAACAAAAATAGATGTCTACATATTAGTTCGAGATACTTTCACTAATGCTTAAAACAATTAATCTCGTTATTGTTCTTCTCGCATTTTAAATCCAAAAACATCTCTCTATTTTTTAAAAAGAATATTTTCGCATCAGTAAAGAATGTTCGTAATCCCATACTAAGAAGGAAAATACCTTTGGAAGGGTATTTAAAGGGCGTAACAGTCGTCTGTTACTGTTTTTAGGCGTGAATTATGCCTGAATTTAAGTTTACGAAGCCTTTGTAAATTATCATAACAAACGAATATTGCTTTATAAAATTTTCTGTATCATCTAAATTATTTGAAAGCTTTCCACTACCGCGGCACAGTTGCTTATTTCCTTGTTTATTCGATTTTATTATTATACATTTTATGCTAACATTTTCATTTTGCAGTATTTGTTTCACCAACATAATCAAACAAAATTCAGATCGTAAACTCTAACAAAGAAAATAAAAGAAGAAAACAACAAGGTTAGGGAAGAATAAGAGGGCAATACGAAATGAAGCAGAAAGTGGGGGGTTTTGATCCATATCTTTCACTTCCATTGACCATTTGCTTTATCTTTTGGTGGTATAGCCATAAAAGCAAAGTGATATCCCTCTCATTAAACCACTTAATATTTTCCAAGAAAACCCAAAAGAAAAAAGTGAGATTGTTCATCTTTTTATAGAGATATCTGCATGATTCTTTTAATGGTGGATTTGCTTCATTTTCCAGTGGAGAATCTCGTCAGCTACCACCCAATGTTTACGTTTTCTTTTAAGAGTGTCTGCTTCTGTTTACGTCCAGTGCTTCGAAAGATATTTGTACATAAACCTTAAGTACATCATATTAAGTAGAGAAGTTTTCTTTTTAAATTAAAAAAATCACGTATCTAAACAACGTGGGGTTTGAAAATCTTCGCAAATTATTATTTTTTATTAATTCATACATTATTTAGATACGTGAGTTTTTAAGTATTTAAATATAACTTTTTAAACATACATTTATTGAATGGTGGAATATAGGTTAATACATGTGTGTCGTTGCCGCCAACGTCGCCCAAATCTTACTCGTGCAATTACACGTTTTTGATATACACCGCACGTGTTTGTTCCTTTTAGACAAAATACGTATAATTTTTTTTCAAAAGTTTAGCCTCTATTTTTATTTTTATTTTATTTCAACCGAACAAGTGTTTGTGTTGCTGCCACGTAGGCAGAAAACACATTCTACGCACTTTGAAAGATGCTTTCCACATAGCATGTCTTTCTCTTACATGACAGAAAAAGGAACTGATACGGGAAATGATATGAAATAAACATTATATAAAAAATTATTTATTATTATTTTATTAAACTAAATGTGATTACAAAGTAGTATTTGTTTCAAGTAATCCCAATCATTGGACAAGGAACGTTCAATAACCCTTGCAGTTGTTAGTGCTAGAACCCGTGACATCTAGGAATAACAACGATTCCTTTTAAAAATTTATTTTTAAGTGATGTATTTGTGGAAAAAAGCCAAGTAAAAGTGTCATGTGTTAATTTATAATCGTTAATTTAATTATGGTTTGATTCAAATTTATTAGTACTCCTCTCACTTTCCGTATGATTGGTTATGGGATTCAGACATTAGATGGTTGTGAGTGCATACCTTTGGATGTGTCTTGTAGTATTCTCAACGTAACGCATAGATTAGAAACTTAGAGACGCAAGCATGTTTTTGGTCAGTTTTAGGACAAAGCTGATGTTTTGTAAAGGTAACCCACAATCAACGAACAAGGACACAACAAACATACCATAAGCTTTCTTAGCGATTATAACAACAGAAACACACCCAATGAAATAAAACAAAACAAAGCATTCACTAATAATTGAACAAGAGGTTCATACGATTATATTTCTGATTTTGACAGGGAACGGGTTCAGCATCGAATGACGAGGGGCAAGTTTTTTCCTTACAGAAAAAAGTTTCACTAATTTTAAAATTGAAAGATCTTAAAGAGTAATTAAACCAAAAAATAAAAAGTCAAATTTTCAGTTTTAAAACTAAAAGGGTCCTAAAATATAATTAAACCAATAAATCTATGAGAGACAATGAGTTAACTTTAATGATTTTAAAAATTTTAGTGACCTAAAATCAATTAAACCGTCAAAGATTGAGGGGTTGAGGGCAATTGCCCCTCGCACCTGCCATGTAGTTCTGTCCTGGATTTTGGGTTTTAAGTGAATCCTTGATTCTCGAATCAAATCATTATCAAATTTAAAAACAAATAAAAGATTCGGGAATGTCTGAGGAAAGGCGGGTTAATATACGGCTAATATACAGCATTACCGGATACATTAAAATGTATTTAATAAATTCGGTTTAGCGGTACCTATTATGTTGACAACTAATAATGTTTTAGGTAGAAAATATGAAAAACTATTAAAAAATTTGGTAACCGGTAAACTTTGGTTATCGGTAAGTATCTATCCTTTTTATAAAAGTGTTCATACTTTTAACATATCAAGTAAATTTTACCGGTTTTGTCATAATGAATTTGGTTTTGTCATATTTTTACCTGTTATATTGTAAATTATCTATCCTTTTTATAAAAGTGTCCATACTTATTTCACTGTGAAAATATATTTATTATTATCTTTAGTTAATATTGTTAAATTTAAAATCTAAATAATATTTTATAAAATATCAAAACAATCAAATAATTTTTTGTATAAATGAAATTATTAAATTAATATTGTAGGTGGAAAACATGAAACACTATTAAAAAAATTGAAACATAAATTACATAACTTTCAAAAAATATATCTTTTTTATAAAAGTGTCCATACTTATTTCACTGTTGAAAACATATATTATTATTTTGGTTAATATTGTTAAATTTAAATTCTAAATAATATTTTATAAAATATCAAAACTATCAAATAATTTTTTGTGTAAATGAAATTATTAAATTAATATTGTAGGTGGAAAACATGAAACACTATTAAAAAAATTGAAACATAAATTACATAACTTTCAAAAAGTATATATCATTTTTATAAAAGTGTCCATACTTATTTCACTGTTGAAACATATTTATTATTATATTTGGTTAATATTGTTAAATTTAAATTCTAAATAATATTTTATAAAATATCAAAACAATCAAATAATATTTTGTGTAA